TGCTGCCATCATCATTCTCAAAGCAATTTCTTTCTACTTGAGCCCTTGGTATCAGCTCATCATTTTCCCCCTCCCTCCCAAACCCTTGATAATTTATAAATTATTATTATTTTGTCATGTTTTTCCTTGTCCTATGTCTCCCTTCACCCACTTTTCTGTTGTCCATCCTCCAAGGATGGGGTTATATGTAGATCATTGTGATGGTTCCCCCTTTCTCCCCCATCTTCCCCTTCCCCTCCTGGTATCACTACTCTCTCATTACTGGTCCTAAGGAGTTTATCTGTCCTGGATTCCCTGTGTTTGCAGTTCCTATCTGTACCAGTGCACATCCTCTGGTCTAGCCGGATTTTTAAGGTAGAACTGGGATCGTGATAGTGGCGGCGGGGAGGAAGCTTTAAAGAACCAGAGGAAAGTTGCATGTTTCATCGGTGCTATACTGTACCCTGACTGGCTCGTCTCCTCCCCGTGACCTTTCCGTTAGGGAATGTCCAGTTGTCTACAGCTGGGCTTTAGGAATCCACTCCGCACTCCACCTCATTCACAATGATATGATTTTGTGTTCTTTGATGCCTAATACCTGATCCCTTCAACACCTCGTGATCACACAGGCTGGTGTGTTTCTTCCATGTGGGCTTTGTTGCTTCTGAGCTAGATGGCCACTTGTTTACCTTCAAGACTTTAAGACCCCAGAATGCTATATCTTTTCATAGCCAGACACCATCAGCTTTTTTCACCACATTTGCTTATGCACCCGCTTTGCCATCAGCAATCATGTCAGGAAGGTGAGCATCATAGAATTCCAGTTTAATAGAACAACATGTTCTTGCATTGAGGGGGTACCTGAGTAGAGGCCCAATGTCCATCTGCTACCTTAATACTAAACCTATAAAGATAGACACATAGATCTATTTCCCCATGGTCATATATAAATATATTTACATATATGTATATACATGCCTTATTGAGGCCTCTATAAATGCCCTTTGCCTCCTAGTTCTTTCCTCTTTTCCTTACTTTCCTCGGCTACTGTTTAAGTCCATCTCATTCAGGATCTTCCTCTTCTCAGACCCTCCACTTCAGTAAGCATAATGTCTTTCTCCATTGATTGGTCCTCCTGATAACATGTCCAAAGTGCATGAGACAAAGGCCTCTCTTCTAGGGGCATTCTGGCTGTACTCCTTCTAAGACAGATTCGTTCACTCTTTTGTAGTGATGGTATATTATACATTATTCTCCAACACCATGTCAAAGATATCAATTAATCAATTATGCAGTCTTCCTGATTCGTTAACCACTTTTCACATACACACGAGGTGGCTGAAAATGCCCTTCATAGGGTCAGGTGCACCTGAGTCCTCAGAATAACATCTTTGTTTTTTTAACACATCCAAGAAGTATTTTGAAATAGATTATTTTCCCAATGCAATAGATAGTTTGTTTTTTTTCATTGTTGCTTGATTGTGGATCCAAACAACAAGAAAGCCTTCACAATGTCAATGTTCTCTCTGTTTAGCCTCATGTTGCTTATTCGGCTACGTTGAGAATGTTTTCAAAGCTGCGATGTAATCCCTTTTGAAGTCTTCAGGTCCTCTTCACTTGCAGCAAACAAGGTGGTGTCACATATATTGCAGTTAGTTAACGATTGTCTTCCAATCGATACTGCAGGTGTTTTCTTCAGATAATCCAGTCTCTCAGCCAATTTGTGTATCATAAAAATTGAATATAAATGGTGAAAGACTACAGCCCTGACTCACTACCTTCCTGATATTAAATAAGGTGGGATCTGAACTTTTCACAAGACTGCCTGTTAGTCTATGTACAAATTGTGCATGAACCAAATTGAATGTTCCGGAATTCTCATTCCTTCTAATGTATGGAAAAGTTGTTATGATCCACACAGTCGAATGCTTTTGCATAGTTGGAAAAACACAAATAAAGATTTTTTCTGATATTCTCTGGCTTTCGATCAAGATATTTCTGATGTCAACAATAATATTTCTTACTACATACCCTCCTCTGAATTTGACCTTAACCGGTCAATATACTGTAGCAACTAACACATCGATGTACTGCCACAAATGTTATTGGATGATTGTCAGCAAAATTTTACTCACATATGTTATTAAAAATATTTTATACAATTTTCACACTCTGCTGAATCACCTTTCATTGGCTTATCACTAAATCTCTCCTGATTGGCAAGGCAAGTAGCTCTATTCCAATTTTTCTGATATAGACCAGTGCAGGCGTCCAGCATTGCATTTATTTGTTGAAACATCTCAATTAGGATTCTATCAATTCCTAGTGCCTCATTTTTCACCAATGCCTTCAGTGTAGCTTGGACTTCTTCCTTCAATATCATCTGCTCTTGATCATATGCTACCTCCTGAAATGGTTGAACATCAATTATTTTTGATTCGTGACTGTGTGTTTCTTCCATCTTTGATACTTCCTGCATTTATGCAATAGTTTGCCATAGAATCTTCAATACTGCACCTCAATATTTAATTTTTCATTCAATTTTTAACTCAATATTTAAATTTTTTCTTTCATTCATTCAGCTTGAGAAATATTGAGTATGTTTTTCCTTTAAATTTTCTAACTCCAGAGTTTTGCACATGGCAATATAATGTTTACTTTTTCTTCTTCAGCTGCCCTTTGATAGCTTCCATTCAGCTTTTTATATGTCATTTTCTTTCTTTCATTTTAACTTATTGACCCTCAAGAGCAAGTTTCAGGGTTTCTTCTGACATCCATGTCTTTTCAATGACCTTTGCTTTCTTCATGCATGATACTCTTGCTGTGATCTCATGACTCATCTGGTTTTCCATCATTAGTAGTCAGTGTTTCAAATCTGTTGTTGATATAATCTCTAATTTCAGGTAAGATCCACGAAAGTTGTCCTTTGGACTTACGGACTTATATTCACTTTCTTCAGCTACAACTTGAAATTGCAGTATGTGTCTCAGTCAGCTTTAGACTTGTTCTTCATAATAATATTGAGCTTCTACGTTGTCTCTTTCCTCAAATGTAGACAATTTGATTATTGTGTGTTATATCTGCTATATACCATGTATAGATGTTGTTTGTGTTCTTGAAAATAAGTTATGGGTATTGCTAAATTCTATCACACAATTTGTGGAACCACTTTTCTCACCAGGGCCTTAATTTCCAACTATTAGGTTTGTGTTCAACTTTCCTGTTCAATCACCAGTCATTCTCAATGCATCTTGATTGCATCCGTTTTAAACCAGAAGTTGGTAGAATTCTTCAGTTTTTTTCATTACTAGCTTAGTTGTTGGTGCATACATTTGAATAGTAGTTGTATTAATTAACTGGACTTTCTTCTAGGTATATAAATATTATGACAGAAAGCACTTCACTCAAAGATAGATCTTGAAATGTTCCTTTTGGTGATGAATGGGACACAATTCCTCTTGAGTTTGCCATTTCTGACACAGTAAACCCTGTGATTGTCTCCGCTCAATGGTCAATCCAACCCATATCACCGCACTATGGCCTATGATTCGAATGTCTATGCATTCCTTTTCGTGTCTGACACCTTCCAGTTCTATTTGATTCATATTTTGTCTGTGCCTTGTTTTGATTAGTAATGAACGTTTGAAGCTGTTTCTTCTTCATTTGAGTAATACTTCAGCAGAAAATGATCATCTTGAAATTTTACTTCATCCACAATATTAAGATTGACTCTGCTTTGAGGAGGCAGCTCTTCTCTATTATTTTCAGTGTCTTCCAACCTGAAAGGCTTATCTTCTAGAACTAAATCAGACAGTGTTTCACTGCTATTCGATGAGGTTGCCACTGGCCAATAATTTTTAGTAATAGATTTCTAGGTCCGTCCTCCAAGTCTATGTGATTGGAAACTCCACGGAAATGTGTCCCCCATGGATGATCCTGCTGGTCCATGGAATAACTGGATGGGGAATAGCTTCCTGCCTCACAACAACATGAAAGCTACCACAGTATGACAAACTGACAGATGATTGGTTTAACAGTAAATGGCCAGACCTTGATTAACATAGAACATAAAAGTAGATTTTTCTTAGATACCTCTAGCTATATTCGAACTGCCAAACTTTTGGTTAGTATTCAAACATGCTGAGTCACCAAACATTCCACCTTGGCCACTGTTATTCAGCTCACTGAACTTCTACTTCCTCTTTTGTAAAATGGAATAATAACAGTCCCTTTGCCAGATAATTGCTCTGAAGATTAAATGATAAATGGCAGTAAAACAGAGCACAGGACATGGTGTCTGCTGCGTGTAATTCTAAATAGACATTAGTTAATATGATTGTTATTAATCATTTTTGCTAGACTTTCATACTGTCTCTCAGCATGTATTTGTCGTTGTCAGTTGCAGTAAACTTCATTGGGACTCACGGTGACCCCATGTGTGCAGAATAGGAGTGTTCCTTAGAGTTTTCGATGCCGGGACCTTTCAGAAACAAGTGGCCAGATCTGTCTTCCAAGGTCACCTTTGGGTGGGTTTGAGCCACACACCTATTGGCTAGTCAACAAGTTTCACGATTTGAGCCTTCAGAGACAAAACATATAAAATCCTGTTGTCCATACATCTCTTGAGCAAGTCTCCACCCCAAATCGATGCTGATTCTGAGCCTTGGTGACATAGTGATTACTCATTAGGGTGCTCACTGCATGGTTAGTGGTTCGAAACCACCAGCCACTCCACAGGAGAAAGACCGGGCTTTCTATTCCCATAGTTACAGTCTCGGGAATTCACAGGAGCAGTTGTACCCTGTTGTATAACATCAAGATGAGTCAGCATTGACCCGATAGCACTGAGTCAATTAGAGGTAGCTTTTTTCCTGGTTAAAGTCCTCATCAGCCTCAGAGACCCTTGACCGTATTCCACATTGTTTCCCCCTTAAATAGCAAAGCATATGATGCACACAAAATTTATTGAAAGTATGTTCTTGGCTTATCATTTATATTAATGACTGGCTTTTATTCCTCAGGTCAGCTTCTTGAAGCTGCTGAGCATTATGAAGCATTCCATCAACTGACGCAAGGGCGGATATGGAAGGACGAGACAGGCCGCTTTCTCAACTTGTTGGCCTGTGAGAGTCTCCTGAGGACTTACAGATTACTCGCAGACAAAATGCTCGAAAATGAAGACTACAAACAGGCCATCAAAATTCTAATAAAAGCTTCTGAAATAGCCAAAGAAGGTAGGTGAAAAAGAACCCGCTCACATTGCTTTCTTTAATGGGCGGACACTGGCTCTCCCTGGAGTCAAGTAGCGATCATCAAGTGTTTGGGCGATGATTGCTTACGAGATGCAAAGACAAATGCCATCAATATACTTTCAAATGTCCCTGTAAAACAGGGGTGCCTTCATGCTGACAACAAGAAACCCATTAGATCCTTGAAAGCTTTACCTTCAAACTTGCAGTCCTCTGGGAGTAGTGTTGTAAAACTGTGAATCCATAATGAGAAGTTTAAGGTCATTTACGAAAGTTAAGGGAGGGAGCTTAGGGGTCCTTTTTTTTTTTTTAAGCTGTTTTGTTTCTTTCTTACGGTCTAAAAGACCTTCCAGTGTCAGTGAATTCATTATTGTCAGGTAGCAAATATTTAGTTAGGCGTAACAGGAAGATAAAAACCAAAACTGCATTCCTGGTGAGTCAACTCCGACTCATGGTGACCCTAATAAGACAGAAGAACTGTCTCCAAAGAGTTTCCAAAGCGCGACTATTGATAATCTCTATGGTGGCAGACTACTGCATCTTTTTCTCTCCGTGTGGCAGATAGGTTCAAACTGCCAGCTCCTCAGTAAGCAGCTCCCTAAAGAAGATCCCCACGTGCTTAACCACTGCATCAGCAGAGCTCCTTAAGAGGACTGTAAAAGTAGGGCTGTCCCGTCTTTTAGACCCTGGCGTGTGGTTTTGGGATCAGTAATAACACATCACCAGTCGGCTTAGGAAAAAAGCAGAAACACAAGCCTTCAGAATCAGCATGGTAAGATGATCCCCAGGTGATCCATAGGTACATGAATCGCAGCAAAGGTAATTTTGTGATAGCTGATCTTCCCCTTCCCATGCCATATCATGGTGTATGTATAAAATATCAAGAAAATTTGTAGGGGATATTTCTATAAACTTCTCATTTGTGACATGGAAGGATATTTTATTATCAGACAGTAATGTATTACTAGAGCTGCCTTTTCGGAGAAGGGAAGAAGACACAAGCTATGCTCGTGAATTACAGTTCTTTAGCTCAGGGATACATTTAATAGATTGACTTAATATTTAATAACCTAAATGAAATTAGGTTACTTAAAGTAAATCAAACTTCTTTTAATTTACTAGTATAGTTTTATCTTACTAAAAGAGTAGACATAAACATATTTTCTTCTCGTTCCTTCTTTTAATAAAATCGGTCAGACTGCTCATAGGATAGCACTCCTATTGAAAAATGTATCGCATTAAATAAGCTGCGTTTGAATGGACAGTAATCTCATAGCTTACCAAAAGGGATGAACACTGATATAAACCGTTAGCTCTTAGACTGCTTTCATCAACTAACTTTTGTCACAGGCTCACCACACAGAATTTCTATGTAAAATAAGATACCAGTTAGGAAAAGGCATTTTATGTTAGGTTCATATTTTGTTAAATTGTTCTATAGGCTTACAATGAGTCCGACTCGACTCGATGGCAATGAGTTTTAATTTTATACACCCACTGCAGGTCTGCTTCTTGGTCAGACATTTTGGCAGTGCTAAACAACAGATGGTCTCATAATTCTCACATGTTTAGGTGTACAATTAATGATTTTCTGTATATTATAAAGTTGTTCAATCACTGACACTAATTCCAGAACATTTTCATCATCCCCATCAGCAGTTATTCTCCATTCCTCCCGACTCCACGCTGCGCATCTACTTAATCAACTTTCTGTCTATGTGGATTTGTCCATTTGGGGCATTTCATTTAAATGGAATATGCCATCTTTTAAGACTGGCTCCTTTCACTCAGTCTAATGCCTTCAGTATGCATAAATGTTATAGCATGTGGCAGTACTTCATTCCAAGCAATATTCCATTGTTTTCTAATATGTTTTGTTTTTATCCATATGTTCGTTAATGGGCATTTTAGTACTTTCCACTATTGAGCTATTATAAATAATGCTACTACTCTAAACATGTGTGTACATTGTTGTGTTTTAAACACACATCTTCTCACTTATTTGGGGTATGTAGCTAGAAGTGGAATTGCTGGTTTATATGGTAACTCTAGGAGCCATTGACGTGGTGCGCTATGCATTGAGCTGCTCACCACAAGGTTGGAAGTTCCAACTCCCGGTTGTTCCCAAGGAGAAAGATGAGGCTGTCTGCCCCTGCAAAGATTGAAAGTCTCAGAAACCCAAAGGGACAGTTCTCTTCTGTCCTGTAGAATCACTTAGAGTAGGGAGTGACTCTGACAGTCGCTGATATTAGGGGTTTGGGTTTTTGTGTTGTTTGCTTGTTTAGTGGTAGCTCTATGTCAACTCTTCAGAAGCTGCCCAGTTTCCCAAAGAGGCTGCACCCATTTATATTCCCACCAGGCATGTTATGGTCTGTCTGTCTCGTCATAACCATCCTGCGATTGTTGTTGGATGTCATCAAGTCCACTGAGATGCATAGCAAAGGCAAAACCTCTCTCCTCAAAACCTGTCTTCCTAGCAACAGGGGTAGATTTTTCTTTCTCTCTTTAATTATTTTGTCTAGGTTTAAAGTCTTACATTAGCCCAAACAGTTGCCAGTTGCCCTCTTCACATGAAGGGACTTTATAGGCCATTTAACTCAGCAAACGTGAACTTCATGGGATCAACATGTAATTAGCTAAAGGCCAACTTGTCTTTGAAATCCCTCTCCTCTACCCCATCTTTCCCTTCCCTTTTTCCTCCCAGCCCTAGTACACACAAACCCGTATCAGAAAAAGCCAGAGCCCAGTTGGATGGTAAAAGTTAAAAATCGCCCAGACAGGATCATTGACACAACCGACTCTGCTGAACGAGACCTTGAGGGTCTAATTCTCTGCAATTGGCGAAATAGCTAGAGCAGAACAAGAAAATTGCTGTCACTGGCGTTTGCCATTCTGTTTTCTTGCTGTCTCCCAACCACGTCTCCGCTGCACCAGGGGTAATTCAATGTGTGGTGTGAGTGAGTGCAGCAGGGAGGATTGCTAGCTCCCCCTGAAATCCATCACCACTGGACTGCAGGGTTCGGAAATCTGAGGCTACTTACTTCCCCAAGATCAAAAACAAGAGTGGCTCTGTCAGTGCGCTCATGGCCCAGGAGGGAGGTGATGCTGGAAGTCAGGATCATCCAAAAGTAGAAAAAAGACAGTGTTTCTTTTTTTTAAATAATGAGAACCTTTCATGGCTCTCATAAATATGTTATATATTTATCAATGTTATGATATATGTCTTGTTCACCTGCATGCTATACCTTCGCAGCCTCTGCTTTTGGAAAAAGGAATTGGGTAATTCCTAGAGTAAAATACATTTCAGGATAATTAGAACTACTGGATTCTTCACACACACACACACACACACACAGACGAGGGGCATTCAGGCATTAACAAAGGAAAATGTATTTGGAATTCAAGATGGGCATGGAATTATATTACAAAAAAAAATCTGTCAGTTGTCCTCAGCTACACTAGAACTGGTATCATTTAAATCAAATGGAGTCAAAACCGTAATTCTTTAATTTGCTAAGTGGATGCCCTGTTACTGAGCTAGCCGATCTTCAGTCATATGTATGTGAGTATGTGACTTTGTATATGGGCCCTTAAAGGGTTGATGCCCACCCTGATGTTCCATGTGTGCAGTAGTGGTTATGCTGGGTCCCTGTAGGTTTTGCATGGTGAGTAATTACAGAAATAATATGATTCCCAGTGATGACAACAGTGGGCTATGTATGCTCAGAGAAAATCCCTTATAATTATTTGTTGCCACCTATTACTTTAACATCTAAGATCCAGGTACATTTTATTTTCAACTGTCTTTTTTTTTTTCTCAGTACAATTAGGCATCAGAGATTACTGCTAATCTATACACTGCTTTTCAATGAGGTTCTACTATCTTGAAAAGCAGGGCTTCCATCAACAACTGGCATACTTGGGAGACATTGTGGGTTCACTTCCCAGCCACCACAATAAAGCCAATGTTGTAATAAAGCCAAAAAAGCAAGGATTCCATGTGTTGGACTAAACCAATTTCTTTATGCTGTAGTAATTTCTCTATATCTTCCTTTTAGGAAATGACAAAAAAATGGAAGGAGAGGCTTCCTATTATTTGGGCTTAGCATACTGGTCTGCTGGGGATCACAAATCAGCATTAACAGTAAGTTGAAGTAAACTTTTGATTGTTGTCATTTGTAACTTTATGATTTGATTTTGTTGAGACTAACAAATGGAATGGGACAGAGGTAAGTGTACCTATTTATTTACATAGACAAAAGCAGAATAGGCATGTGCTAGAAACATTTTAAAATGTGTTTTGCTGTGTATTGTGTACAGTCAATGTGCATGAAATGCTTTAAGATACAAGAAAATTAATGTAATGTAACCTCTTGTATCACAAGGATAAGAGGAACCAGGTTTAAATGAGAGCAAAAGTATATATTGTTGACATTAGATGCCATCAAATTGGCTCCTACTCTTAGAGACCCTGTATATAGAAGAAAACACTGCCCGGTCCTGCACTGTCCTTGTAATTGCTGTGTTTGAGCCCATTGTTCCAGCCACTGTGTCTATCTATCTCACCGAGGAGTTTCCTCTCTTCCCTGGACTCTCCGCTTTACCAAGCATGATGTGCTTTCTCAAGGGACTGATCCTTCCTGATAACATGTCCAAAGTACATGAGATAAATTCTCATCACTCTCACTCCTAAGAAACATTCTGGCTGTATTTCTTCCAAGACAGAATCATTCATTCTCTCGGGCCAAGGCATTCTAAAATTTCTTCACCAACACCCTAATTCACATCCTCCAATTCTGTTTTTTCTTATTTATCTTGCATCGTGTGTGTGAGAGGGAGGGAGGAGGGTGGAGGGTGTCAGGGCAGGTGTCAGTATGGGATATTTTGAATTTAAAGAGTTTCCAAATACCCAAAGAAGAGACCAAGTGAAAAACTAAGTATATCAGTGTGGAATCCAGAGAAAGTCTGGATTGGAGGTATTCTATAGATGTATGAGTTTTCACTCTATAGACGCTGTAGAATGGATGCAATGTCCTTAAGAAGGCTTAGAGAGTTAATTATGATAAAAGGTCCAAGCTGGATAAAGGAGACATGTGAAAACAAGGGAAGCAGAGGCAAACTAGGAATGGATGATTTCATGTAATTGGACAGAACCAAATGTTTCTAACAGTCATGTGATGCAAACGCTTGCTTCATATCCTAGAATTTGCCTTTGAATACTTCTACGCAAGTATTCACATTAGAAACATGATCTCCGTGTGTACTAACCCATGGGGTGACTAGAGAAACAAATCCAGAGACAATCATGTGTGTGTGTAAGAGAGAGCTTTATATCAAAACACTATTATATATTGAAAAAACATTCCAACCCAGTCCAGATCAAGTCCATAAGTCCAATATTATCTCACATGTCCAATACTAGCCCATAAATTCCTCTTCAGACTCACATAGCACATGCAATGATGCCAAATGCAGGAAGAGCTCAGGCCGGTGGGTGGAAAGTTTTGTGGATCCAATGCTAGTGGAAACATCTCAGCGTTGGTTCCTCCAGCTCTTTGAGTGTCTCTCCAGCAGGAAAGTGGAGCAGAGAGAGTGTGGCCTGCCTCCAGGGAGGTGAGGAAGTTCCCAGAATCCTCATGAGATGGCCATACCCACCCAGAGGCATCATCAGGCTGTGATCCGATTGACAGGCTAGACCCCACCCCTTCACTCTTAGTACCCTCAAGTTGACACAAGATTATGTAACTACCACACTCCATTGCCCAGACACATATCTGGGTTAGAGTTAGGGGAAGAGTACTGGTGTTGTTTACAATGGTTAAGTGCTTGGCTATTAATAGAAAGGCAGGATGTTCAAACCCCGTGGCTCTAAGGAAGAAAGATGTGGAAGTCTGTTTCCCATTACTATGCAGTCGATTCTGACTCATAACAACATTATAGGATAAAACAGAACTGACCCCTCGGTTTCCGAGGTTCTAATGTTTACAAAGGTAGGCTGCCACATCTTTCAACCTTGGAGCAGCTAAACCCAAAAAAACCCACTGCTACCAAGTCAATTCCAACTTATATAGGGTGTCTAAGGCTGTGATCGCTACAAGATCTGGCAGTTCCATCTCTCTCCCTTGGGGTGACCAGAGGATCTGAACCTCAGGTTTGGTGGTCTCCTTTGTGGCCGGCCTTGTGCATAGCAGCCCGACATTTATCCCACAATGGCACTTGGATTGCTTCTATGGAGCCGCTCATGGGTTCAAACCACTGTGCCTTTGCTTAGCAACTGAGTACTTTAGTTATTCTGCTGCCAGGGCTCCTTCCATAAAGGTATTTTTTTTAAGTTATTGAGTCCATTCCAGTGGACTCAGTGTTCAGTACACCTGAACCCTGCCTGGTGCTACCCTGTCTGTCCAACCGTGGCTGCGCTTGAGCCCATTGTTGCAGCCACTGTGTCCATTAATGTGTTGGGGGTCATTCTATTTTTCACAGAGCCTCTACTTTACCAAGCATGATGTACTCCTCCAGGGACTGTTCCCTCCTGATCACACATCCACAGTACATGAGACAATGCCTCACTATCCTCAATTCGAAAGAAACTCCTATACTTCTTTCAAGATAGAGTCATTGCTTCTTCGGGCCGTCCGTATGCTTTGACAATTCCATGACTCAAATGCATCAATTCTCTGGGTTTCCTTACTCATTGTCCAGCTTTCACACACATTTGAGAAGATCGAAAATATCATGGTTTGGATCGAGCGCACCAAAATCCTTAAGGTTTATAACCTTGGAAGTTCTATGGGGCATGTACTATTGTCTTATAGGGTGCCAATGAATCAGAATCAACTCAATGGTAACAAATGTTGATTGTTTGTTTGAAGGGCTACCGTTAGATTTAGGGTTAATTAATTCTAGTCATTTACTTCTCCAGCTAAGGTGGAGACTGGGGAAAGGTAGGCAAGACCATGTTCCAGCCCTCAGGCTCCCGATTGTTCAACATGAGTAGGCGTTGTAAAAGAGACAGGGAAGGCTTCAGAACTCATCTCTTGTCATTCCTGGCCATCAAATTGATTCTGACCCATAGTGTAGAATAGATCTGCTCCCTTGGGTTTCTGAAGCTAAATCGTTACAGGACCAGACAGCTGAATCTCTCCTTTATTGGGCAGCTGATGAGTATGAACCTATACGAGGGTTCTTTCATCTCTTGCCAGTGGCAGAATATGGTAGCCATCTTTCATCACAGCTCACCACAACTGAGGACTTTCAGCACCAGCACCAGAGACACAGCAGTCCAGCCTAAGATTCCAGGTAGGCCCAGCATTCACACGCATATGAGGATATGAAAAGTATCATGGCTTGGATCAAATGAAGGATGACTATTGGGTCTGGATAGAAGATTCCAAGATCCACATAGAGAAAGTAACGGATTCATAGGTATGAAACAGGAGCTGGGGAACAGATATTCATTAATCACCAATGACTGAAAAGTTGAAATGTGGTATAACTGGAGTGGAGAATGGACACTGAGCGGTTTTACATGCTTTAGGTTGCAACAATAAATTCTTCTAGAAAAATTAATACAAGGCAGTTCCAGTAGGGTGAAGTTTAAAGATACCCCAGATGTCCAACTTTTCCAAAGTGCTATATAACTCACTCCATTATCCCTACTATCAACCATCATTCTTCCCCTTAGGATATTCACTTTTGTCCCAGGGTTCTGAAATTTGCTACAAAAGCTCACTGAACTCCCAAAATGTAAAGGAAATGGCTCACGTGCATGTGGGTTCTGCTAAGTCCCCAATCCAAAATCCACACCCCTGTGTGTGAAGGATCTTGCTCATCCACAAGACTGTGGAAGCTGGTGAAATCAGGTCAGGTGATAGGCAGCTACTCAGGTGTGCCGAATTGGAAGTCAGGCAGAGGCAAGCCAGATGCAGGATGGAGAATATGCAGTGAAAGTCCAAACGGGTCTGCAGAGTCAGGAAGGGAAGGTCACACGAAAATGGTTTTGATGAAGATGCGGTTATTGCCTTCTGCAGATCATACCTGCAAGGAAACAAAAGACTCCATGTACACCCCACCTTAATCCTGTCTCATTCGAATAACAGATAACTCCCTCCAAAACAGGATTATGACCACAGGCGTGAGGCTAGAAGTGATAATGCAGAGAACGCACCACAAACTGGAGGGTTTCTTGGGCTGCGTTCTCTAGGGAAGAAAACCCAATGGTGCATATATATGTACATATAGAGAGAAACTGTATCGAGAAAGAGAGAGAGTGATGAGTGAGATTGATTCCCTGATTAATTCGTTGAGTAGATTATCTAATCACAAATTTGTGTTCTTCCTTTTTTCCTTTGCAATCCTGTATCCCAGGTGCTTTAAAGCATGTAGGTTGTTCTTGTCATGATATTCCTGTGAAGAGGTTAACATTGCACAGAAATCAAAACCTTTGTCATTTTAGAGGAAGGGCAAGAAAGCATATGGATCGATAGATTTTACAATTCTCTTTTATGTTCAATCTAACTTAATTATTGTCATTAATTCTCTGTTATTTTACCCTCCCACTTGTATCTTAATTTTATCATTTGGATTATATTACATCTTCAGTATTTCCCAGTGTATTCAGCTTCTACTCACACATTGTGTCCTTCTAATCATATGTTTTTTAAAAGATTTTTACACTTAAAAAAAAAAGGAAACCCTACATAGATAAATCTGTTAATAGTAAATAAAAACAGAGGGATTTTTATAAGTGTGTGCCTATATCTTAACATATTCTTCCATTCATTCTATTAATGATTTATTAATTAACATAAAGAGTATAAGAATACATTGACAAGCATATGAATAACACCCATTACCCTTGAGTTGATTCCAATTCACAGCAGTGCTACGGTAGGAGGTCATTGGACTGAATAATGGAATAAACCAAAGCAAAACACCCACTGCTATCGAGTCAATGTCAACGCACAGTGACCCTACAGGACAGGGTATAACTTCCCCTGTCAGTTTCAGCAGGAGTAGAAATTCCCATCTTTTTCTCACAGAGCACCTGGTGGTTTCGAACTGCTCACTTTGCCATTAGCAGCCTAACTCATAACCTCTATAGCCACCAGGGCTCCTGCATAACAGAATAGAGCAAAACTAAAAGCA